AGTAACCTAAAGGCACCGGAGTGGCGGTGCCGCCGGCTTTGGCCCTTCATCGCTGCTCGCAGCTATATTTATATATATATATATATATATATATATAAACAAGCCGGTGGCACCGCCACCCTGGTGCCTTAAGGGTTACTGTGCATGACGGGTAATAACTTAACCCCGCTTTGACTGTTGAGAAGATGTGTGCTGTAGAGCTTGCATTGGTGTGGGCTCTGCAAAAGTGTGCATTGAGGGCACATATCATATGCGTGAGCAACCTTCTGAAACCTAAAATGAAAAATGAGACACCCTACGGTCTCATGGACTTAATGGACACATGAAATAAGTAAGTTATGAAAGTTAAATCAATTGTGCCAAGACAGAATGTTACTTGCCTGATCTGATTAGAAAAAAAGTTGTGTGTGTGTGTGTGTGTGTGTGTGTGTGTGTGTGTGTGTGTGTGTGTGTGTGTGTGTGTGTGTGTGTGTGTGTGTGTGTGTGTGTGTGTGTGTGTGTGTGTGTGTGTGTGTGTGTGTGAAACGTGATTGAACAATGTAGACATAAAAACATACTCCGTCCTTTTGTTCATACAGGACATTATTCAAACTGTAAAGTGTTTACTTATATTTGTGAACAATCGCAATAAAACACAACATTGTGCTTTTGTCAAACTGTAAACTACAACTGTCACCCAACCAAAATCTCTTTTTTATTTTATACAGAAATAAATAATCTATCATTCAGATGAGAATAAAGTTAGTGTTAGTTCAAATTTTAAGGAAAACTCTGAAATATAGCACATTCATTTAAAATTCATTCAGGTTCAATTACCAAACATACAAATCTTAATGTAATTTAAAGCAAACAATACATTTAAAATATATGGGTTGTATGCCTATTTTTTTATATAAAAAGATATATATCCAAAAAGACAAGGCCTAAACTTTAACAAGGGTTAAACAATCACTGTAACAGACACAATCATACACACACACACACACACACACACACACACAAGTCAAATCACTTACATTTTAGATGCAATATTGACTTTTTTTCTGTTTCAGCAGCGAAAATAGTTAAACAAAGATCACAGCAGAACCATCACACATCTCACAGCATCGCGTTCTCATTACTGAATGATTCAGCATTTTGAACGAATCGGTTGACTCAAAGATTCAATGACCAATCAATCCATAAACATCTGTCTCATTCATGAATGACTCAGTCGTTCGAACGAATGAATCAATGACTCGCTCATTAAGACGGTCGCCTGGCAACACCTAATGACGGTTTAGTGTAATGTTTAAAAATATAATTCTTTCCAACGATTGTTAATTAACTCATATTTGAAACATAAGCTTTATCTATATATATACATACATATACACACATACACAAAAATAAAATAAAAACACATTTGAAACGTGTTTGCTTACTAAATTGTGAGCTGAACGAAAGTTGCAGCAAAGATCAGCAACAGGAGTCAAATTTCATTAATCACGAGAGTGAAGAGCTGACTGAAAAGATGATGACGGAATAGGCTATTTTATGTAAAAGCGCCTATTTAAGCGAATCTGTCATTGTACTCTTTTATTGTTGTGTTTTCCGTGAAAAATAGTAGACTATTGAACTCACAATTCAAGCAATCGGTCCCCGAAATTGCACTAATTTTAGTGACACTTAAAAAGTATGCGGCTGCACTGGCATTCATAACGGTGCGCGTCCATGGCGACGAGCGAGCAGAACAGAGCGAACGTTTAGTTAATTTCTACTTCCATAGGAATTCATTCGAGCGCTCTGCGAGCGTCACCATTATCAATGTCCGTGCGGACGTCCATATTATACTTTCGCTTTCAAGTTAGTGTTTTTAAACCCCCCAGCGGGAGGTTTACACAATTGGTTTACACAATCACACGTTGATTAACCGCTGGGAGATTATTCCCATAGTAACATCCCTAATATATAAATATATATAAATTCAATAGGCCTACCTGATTTTGAACACAAGAGGGCAGTATAGCACTATATATGATTTGGATTATTATTATTTTTGACTAAACAACCATTCTGGCTGTTTTTAAACTTAAAAATAATTCTTAAATTGAAAAAAATGAATAAAATGGGTTTAGTTCTAATATTTGTATAAGTTTATATAAAAATAAATGGTGTATAATTACATTTTAGAAAGATATGAGACATGCCCTGATTCTTTTTTTGACATTACTTGAATCCCTCGACCATAGCAAAACCGTTTGAGATATTCAATATCCGTTCACAATTTAGCATCTTCAATGTATTTTCATCATGTTGAAAAAGTTTGGCGTGAATAAAATAAACTACTTAGGAGGAGTAGCTAAAAACTCAGAATCTGAAATCCACATTCAAACCAAAATATCTGACTTCCTCTTGGTCTGAGCTAATTACGGTAAATTAGAAAGTTGTCCGGCTCGAAGAGTACAATATACATATCGAGTTTTGTTACTGTAGATAAAACTAACCCCCCCACTTTTGTCAAAAGCATTTTGAAAGTGACACACTTCCTGCTGCCAGTTGGTGGCGCTATAACTTTGACTCACAATAGTTACATCCATCTGATTGGCCTCTTACCACGAACACACTGCTGAAATTTCATCAAGATCAGTTAATGTATGCAGAAGTTATAACACTTCGTGTTTCTCTTTTCTCGCCATAAATTCGTTTCCTCGCCACGGCCAAACCGTTCGAGATATCAAAAATCCGTCCACAATTTAGCATCTTCAATGTGTTGACCTCAAGCTGACCGAGTTTGGCAGTAAACGGATGCAATCTCTAGGAGAAGTACTTCAAATTCCTGAGCAAGCGTTCTCCAAACAACCCATAATAGCCGACTTCCTGTTGGGCTGGCGTAAAACTTGACCGAGGGTAAGTTGTTCGGTCCGATGAGATCTATAAGTGTACTGAGTTTCATATTAATTCATGCAAGCGTGTTTGATCTATGGACCAAGTTTTGGGGACCCCATTCAAGGGGGCGCTGTTGAGCCCCCCTGCCACGCCCGGGTACCAGCTTCAGCCCGGCCCTGATGGCCGTGGGCTCTGACCTGTGTGCAAAGTTTCAAGAGTTTTCAAGCACGTTAAGGGCCCCAAAAGCCCCTGAAACCTTGAACACCATTAAAATAATAGTCAAATTCCCCAAACCCCCCACACACAGAGACAGAGGGAGAGGGAGGGAGAAAATTCTCCTGAAAATCACATTCAAACCAAAATATCTGACTTTGTGTTGTTCGGAGCTAATGACTGTCAATTAGAAAGTTGTCCGGCTCGAGGAGACGAATATACATACCGATTTTTGTTACTGTAGGTAAAACTAATACCCCATTTTTGACTAAAAGTGGCGCTACTGAGCCCCTCACCACGCCCGTTTCTGAAACTTTGCACGTGTCTACTAGCTAATAAATGTGATCTGTCTGTCGAGTTTCATGCAATTTTAAGCAATTTCAGGCATGCTAAGAGTCTCAAAAGCATCCAAAAAGAATATTAAAGTTTGATGCGTTGCCATGGCAACAGTATCTAAGACATCAATAATCCTTTCACAGGTCTACATCTGGCGAGTGTCTACATTATACACATAAAGTTTGAAGCAAATCGGGTAAAAATAAGAGGGTGATTTCAAAGCATTTTGAAAGTGACACACTTCCTGCTGCCAGTTGGTGGCGCTATAACTTTGACTCACAATAGTCACATCCATGTGATCGGTCTCTTACAGCGAACAGACTGCTGAAGTTTCATCGAGATCAGTCAATGTATGCAGAAGTTATAACACACTTCCTGTTTCTTGTTTCTCGCCATAAATTCGTTTCCTCGCCACGGCCAAAGCGTTCGAGATATCAAAAATCCCCTGGCAATTTTTCATCCTCAGTGTCTTGACTTCATGCTGACCGAGTTTCGTGCCGTGTGTTTGAATTCTCTAGGAGGAGTATTTCGAATTCCTGAGCATGGGTTTTCCAAACAACCCTAAATAGCAGACATCCTGTCGGGCTGGGGTAAAAAATCAGAGCATGAAGTATATATGAACCGATGAGATCTATAAGTGTACCGAGTTTCATATTATTCCATGCAAGCGTGTTTGATTTATGGACCAAGTTTTCGGAGCCCGTTCCAGGGGGCGCTGTCGAGCCCCCCTGCCACGCCCGGGTACCAGCTTCAGCCCGGCTCTGATGGCCGCGGGTTCTGACATGTGTGCAAAGTTTCAAGAGTTTTTGAGCACGTTAAGGGCCCCAAAAGTGCCCGAATAGTCGTAAAAATAATAATAAATATAGCTGCGAGCAGCGATTACGGGCCCAAGCCGGTGGCACCGCAACCCCGGTGCCTTTAGTTACCTAAAGGCACCAGGGTGGCGGTGCCGCCGGCTTGGGCCCTTCATCGCTGCTCGCAGCTATATTTATATATATATATATATATATAAAGCCGGTGGCACCGCCACCCTGGTGCCTTTAGGGTTATTGTGCACGACGTGACACAAAATATCTGCTTGCTATCTGCCGAACGGCTCTGGTAGTTTCGCTTCAGCACTGATGATGTTGTAGAAATAGTGCGCTCTGGTTGGTCTGGATTATTCGGGATTTTTTATTTTATACAGAAATAAATTCTTTATAATTCAGATGAGAATAAAGTTAGTGTTGATTAAGTCAAGTCAAGTCAAGTCACATTTATTTATATAGCGCTTTTCACAATACAGATTGCATCAAAGCAGCTTCACAGTGATAACATGAAAGTAGTACAACACAGTTCAATAATATTGTTGAATATTAAATATCCCCAACTAAGCAAGCCAAAAGCAAGGCGACAGTGGCAAGGAACCAAAACTCCATCAGATTGGATGGAGAAAAAAACCTTGGGAGAACCCAGGCTAGTCAGGGGCCAGTTCTCCTCTGGCTAACAATCATAGGGTTTTAAAGAAGCTTTACAGTAAGTGCATATCAGAGAGTACCTGGAAAAAATACATTTAGTTAATCATGTAATATTTAGGGGATAACATATCGCCGGCGTTGAGTCGTCTCTTCGCAGGCGTTGAGTCGTCTCTTCACAGGCGTTGGTCTTCTCATCACAGGCGTTGAGGCATCCGAAATCCCCGTGAGAGGCAGGATACCAAACTGGAGCCTACGAACGCCATTTTTCTCGGGACAAGCGTCCCGAGATAACAGCAGAAAGGCAGATGGGAAATAATTAGCATAGCTGATGTTCATAATGATTTCCATTACACGGGAGTAGGTGTTAGAAAACCATAATCTCACAACTCTCCGCAACCCAAACTCTCCGCAACCCAACCGCAACCATACGGACCGACCCGTTTGTCTATAAGGCTGTCGAGCCCCACTGGTGCGTTAAGCAGTTTCAGTGGCAAACGGTTCCGTATGGCATAGCAGAGGACTAAAAGGTAAGCATTATGTGAATGCTTGACTAAAGAGACACGTCTTTAGTCTAGTTTTAAACTGTGTCAGCGAGTCAGAGCATCGGACCGTATCGGGAAGGCTATTCCAGAGTTTTGGAGCTAAATGCGAGAATGCCCTCCCTCCTTTCGTGGACTTCGATATCCTAGGAATGACCAGAAGCCTTGAATTTAGTGATCTTAGAGAACGCGGTGGATTGTAGGGCGAAAGAAGGTCCGTTAAGTACATAGGAGCTAAACCATTAAGGGCTTTATAGGTCAGTAGTAGTACTTTGTAATTGATACGGAACTTAATAGGTAACCAGTGCAGAGATGATAAAATCGGTGTTATATGATCATATTTTCTTGATCTAGTAAGAACTCTAGCGGCTGCATTTTGCACTAACTGTAGCTTGTTTATTGAGGATGCAGGACAACCAGCTAATAAAGCATTACAGTAATCTAGTCTCGAGGTCATGAATGCATGAACTAACTTTTCTGCATCAGAAACAGATAGCATGTTACGTAATTTAGCAATGTTTCTAAGGTGGAAAAAGGCTGTTCTTGTAACAGATGAAATATGATTTTCGAAAGACAAGTTGCGGTCTAGTATAACACCCAGGTCTTTTACTGTAGTGGAAAAAGTAACAGGGCATCCTTCTATATTAAAGTCGTATTGTAAGAGGTTTTGTGTGTAGTTTTTTGGACCAATAAGTAATACCTCCGTTTTATCTGAATTTAATAGCAGGAAATTACGCGTCATCCAGCATTTTATATCTTTGAGACATTCTGTCAATTTAGATGAGGTAATGTTTTCATCTGGTCGTGATGAAATATATAATTGAGTGTCGTCAGCATAACAGTGGAAATTAATTCCATGTTTTCTTATAATATTACCAAGTGGCAGCATATATATTGAGAATAGCAGAGGGCCTAGCACCGATCCTTGCGGTACTCCGTAGTCTACTGACGTTAACTTTGATTTTCCCCCGTGTAAAGAGACAAAATGATAACGGTCAGATAAGTACGATCTAAACCAGCTTAATGCCTGTCCCTGAACACCAGTGTAGTTTTGTAGTCGATCCAAGAGTATTTTATGATCTATAGTGTCGAACGCGGCGCTAAGATCAAGTAGGACTAGTATTGAGATACAGCCTTGGTCAGAAGCTAAGAGTAGATCATTTGTAATTTTAACTAGCGCAGTTTCTGTACTATGATGCGGTCTGAATCCTGACTGGAATTTTTCATAGATATCATTTTCTTGCAAAAAAGAGCACAGTTGAGCGGATACAACTTTTTCTAGTATTTTGGACATAAATGGAAGATTTGAAATGGGTCTGTAATTTGCTAGGTTATTTGGATCTAGTTGCGGTTTCTTAATGAGAGGTTTTATTACTGCCAACTTGAATATTCTTGGAACATGACCTAAGAATAAAGACGAGTTAATAATATTAAGAAGAGGCTCTTCCACTACAGGTAACACTTCTTTCAGTAGTTTAGTGGGTATTGGATCTAATGAGCATGTTGTTGGTTTAGATGCAATAATAAGTTTATTTAGCTCTTCCTGTCCTATCGTTGCAAAGCGGTGTAGTTGTTCTTGAGGGACGATAATTGAGGCTGAATCATAAGAGACCATAGAGGATTGTACATTTATAATTGTGTTTCGAATGCTTTCTATTTTCTCATTGAAATAATTCATAAAATCATTACTACTAAACTGTAACGGTATATTTTGCTCTGGTGATGTCTGTTTATTTGTTAGTCTAGCCACGGTGTTAAATAAGAACCTTGGATTATTTTGGTTATTTTCTATTAGTTTGCGGAGGTGCTCAGCCCTGGCTGTTTTTAGAGCCTTTTTATAACGTGACATACTGTCTTTCCACGCGATTCTAAAGACCTCTAAATTAGTTTGTTTCCATTTACGCTCTAGGTTACGAGTTTCTCTCTTGATATCATGCGTAACACTGTTGTACCATGGTGCTTTAGTTTTCTCTTTAACCTTTTTTAATCTAATTGGTGCAACAATATCTAATGTACTAGTGAAAATGGTGCTCAAACTGCTAGTCATTTCCTCTAGTTCATCTGTTTGTTTGGGTTCACTGAGCAGCTGAGATAGATCAGGTAAGCTATTTGAGAATCTATCTATAGTGGTTGGAAGGATTGTTCTGCCTGGTCTATAACGTGGCGCAACATGACATATTTCAGCAGTACGTATTATGCACGTTACCATGTAATGATCAGTGACATCATCACTTTGCGGTATAATATCTATATCAGTTGGATTGGTTCCATATGATATAATTAAATCTAGTGTATGATTTAGACGATGAGTGGGACCACGGACGTTTTGCTTGACCCCAAAGGAGTTTAATAAATCTGTAAACGCAGCCCCTAAGGCATCATTTTTGTTGTCTACGTGTATGTTAAAATCTCCAACAATTATTGCTTTATCGACATTAACCAATAGATCCGAGAGAAAGTCTGCAAACTCTTTTAGAAATTCAGCATATGGCCCTGGAGGTCTATATACAGTAGCCAAGGCTAGAGATAATATGGATTTCTTTCTTACATCTAAGAGCGTAACATTTAGCATAAGTACTTCAAACGAATTAAATCTGTGACCTGTTTTCTGAGAAATATTAAGAATATCTTTATAGATTGTTGCAACACCGCCGCCACGACCAGTCAGACGGGGCTCATGCTTATAACAGTATCTTGGCGGAGTAGACTCATTTAGACCGAAATACTCATTTGGTTTAAGCCAGGTTTCAGTAAGGCAAAGTATATCGAAATTATTATCTGTGACCATTTCATTTACAATAACCGCTTTAGGTGTGAGCGATCTAATGTTTAGAAGACCTAGCTTTAGAAATTCTTTTTGTTCACTGATATTTAGATTTTCTGGTTTAATTACAATAAGATTTTTGCTAGATCCTGCACTAGATTTATTGTTTGGCTTCACTAAACGAGGAATAGACACAGTTTCTATATAATGTTCTTCACTACGTATATCAATTAAGTTTGGACAGCAAAGACTGTGATTTGGATTTTGACTTATTAGTCATCTGGTGCGTAACGTCTTGGAGATATTATCCGACAGAACAGCCGCTCCGGCTCTGCTGGGGTGCAGGCCATCAGCACGGTACAGCCTGGGTCGCTCCCAAAACAGATTCCAATTATTTACAAAGAGCAGTTTCTGTTCATTACACAGTGACATTAACCATTCATTTAGTGCAAATAGTCTACTGAACCTTTCTTGTCCTAGTCGGTACGTGGGAAGCGGTCCAGACACGATGATCGTTGCCTCAGGCGCTGTGTTGCGTACGGTCTCGATCAGGCTCATGTAGTCCTTCTTCAGAACCTCCGTCTGCCGCAGCCTGACGTCGCTCCCTCCCGCATGCAGCACCACAGCTCCGACGCGCTCGTCCCCGGTCAGGATTTCGGGAACCTGTGCAGCGATATCAAGAACACGAGCACCAGGAAAGCAGTGAGAGCGCACCTTACCTTTACCTGAGGTAGCACGGACATGGCGGACCATGGACGTGCCGATGATCACGGCGTCGTCGCGTTTCGACTCGCGAAGAGGGGAGAAGCGGTTCCGAGTGGAGATCTCGAAGACCGGGAGGGGCGGAGGAGTAGCTCTGGTCCTGGCTCGCGTCTTCCGCTGCGTGATCCATGGTCCATTGTGTTGTGTCGGTGCCGGAGTAAATGAAGCCCGAGATGATCGCGTCCTTCTGGACAGAGAAACACACGGAGTAGACGAACTCGGAGTTAAAGAGTTACTAACCACTAACTTGTGAGCATCGGCGCGTGCTGCTTCAAGTGCTGATCGCCGATCCAACAGCTCGGCTTGCTTTTCCAGCAGACCACGGATCTGTTTCTCCACGGATTCCAGCTCCAGATTCACCGAGAATAGCTCGAAAGTGTCCTCACCTGCACTCAGAGGTAAAGTTAGACACGCATCCGATATGTTCGCCATTATAACAAATGAGCTGTAAATTAGCAGTGATACTACAACTATCAGTACTAATTTAGGACTGCAATGTCAAATATAACTCGTGTCCTTTCAGTGAAAGGATGTAATATTAGACGGCCGAGGCCACGCGTGAAATGTTAGCGGGCTAAAGGCTAGTAGCCGAGAATCGAAAGGTTGGATATAAGTAGCGATATCAAAGCAATCTAATTGTTTTTTATAAGGAATAGTTTCGTGGATAAGTTCACATGATATAAAAATAAAAAGTGCTTGCTTATAAATGCCTGGTAAAGCAATAAAACAAGGATTAATGAAGTAATTCGCCGGAGCAACGGAGTAAGCGTCTGCCCTAAGTTTAGCCCTGAAACATGTCAGATTATTTCCATACGTCGGACCTTCAAGTTGCCCTACCAACTTGATTAAAATGAAGGAAAACAAATATATTGATCTGAAATATAGCACATTAATTTAAAATTTATTTAGGTTCAATTACCAAACATACAATCTTAATTTAATTTAAAGCAAACAATACATTTAAAATATATGGGTTGTATGCACATTTTTTTTAATAAAAAAAATATATATCCAAAAAGACAAGGCCTTAAAGGGTTAAACTCTTGTCACTGTAACAGACACATCTCTCTCTCTCACACACACACACACACACACACACGTCAAGTCACTTACATTTTTAGATGCAATATTGAATAAGCAGAAAAATCGGATTTTCTGCTCTGAAAATATAAATAAGCAAAAAAATTTAATAAGCACTTTGAATATTCTAAACAGAATAAGCACTAGTCGCTAATGAATAAGTACTAGTACTTAATGGAATAGATACTAGTATCTAAAAAATGAGTACTAGTAGCATGAAAATAGAGACTAGTAGGTTAAAATGATTAAATGTTAAAACGGCTTGCCATATTGGCTCAGAGAGAGAGAAAGAGAAAATGACCTTTTAGATACTAGTACCTATTAATAGATACTAGTATTTATTCAATAAATACTAGTACTAAGTCATTAGATACTAGTACCTATTAAATAGATACCAGTACTTATTCATTAGCTACTAATACGTATTCAAAAGAATATCTAAAGAATAAGCACTAGTATCTAAAGAATAGGCACTAGTACTAAAGAATAAGCACTAGTCGCTAATGAATAAGTACCAGTACTTAATGGAATAGATACTAGTATCTAAAAATAAGTACTAGTAGCATGAAAATAGAGACTAGTAGGTTAAAATGATTAATATAAAAAGATATATATCCAAAAAGACAAGGCCTAAACTTTAACAAGGGTTAAACAATCACTGTAACAGACACAATCATACACACACACACACACACACACACACAAGTCAAATCACTTACATTTTAGATGCAATATTGACTTTTTTTTCTGTTTCAGCAGCGAAAATAGTTAAACAAAGATCACAGCAGAACCATCGAGCATCTCACAGCAACGCGTTCTCATTACTGAATGATTCAGCATTTTGAACGAATCGGTTGACTCAAAGATTCAATGACCAATCAATCCATAAACATCTGTCTCATTCATGAATGACTCAGTCGTTCGAACGAATGAATCAATGACTCGCTCATTAAGACGGTCGCCTGGCGACACCTAATGACGGTTTAGTGTAATGTTTAAAAATATAATTCTTTCCAACGATTGTTAATTAACTCATATTTGAAACATAAGCTTTATCTATATATATACATACATATACACACATACACAAAAATAAAATAAAAACACATTTGAAACGTGTTTGCTTACTAAATTGTGAGCTGAACGAAAGTTGCAGCAAAGATCAGCAACAGGAGTCAAATTTCATTAATCACGAGAGTGAAGAGCTGACTGAAAAGATGATGACGGAATAGGCTATTTTATGTAAAAGCGCCTATTTAAGCGAATCTGTCATTGTACTCTTTTATTGTTGTGTTTTCCGTGAAAAATAATAGACAATTGAACTCACAATTCAAGCAATCGGTCCCCGAAATTGCACTAATTTTAGTGACACTTAAAAAGTATGCGGCTGCACTGGCATTCATAACGGTGCGCGTCCATGGCGACGAGCGAGGAGAACAGAGCGAACGTTTAGTTAATTTCTACTTCCATAGGAATTCATTCGAGCACTCTGCGAGCGTCACCATTATCAATGTCCGTGCGGACGTCCATGTTATACTTTCGCTTTCAAGTTAGTGTTTTTAAACCCCCCAGCGGGAGGTTTACACAATTGGTTTACACAATCACACGTTGATTAACCGCTGGGAGATTATTCCCATAGTAACATCCCTAATATATAAATATATATAAATTCAATAGGCCTACCTGATTTTGAACACAAGAGGGCAGTATAGCACTATATATGATTTGGATTATTATTATTTTTGACTAAACAACCATTCTGGCTGTTTTTAAACTTAAAAATCATTCTTAAATTGAAAAAAATGAATAAAATGGGTTTAGTTCTAATATTTGTATAAGTTTATATAAAAATAAATGGTGTATAATTACATTTTAGAAAGATATGAGACATGCCCTGATTCTTTTTTTGACATTACTTGAATCCCTCGACCATAGCAAAACCGTTTGAGATATTCAATATCCGTTCACAATTTAGCATCTTCAATGTATTTTCATCATGTTGAAAAAGTTTGGCGTGAATAAAATAAACTACTTAGGAGGAGTAGCTAAAAACTCAGAATCTGAAATCCACATTCAAACCAAAATATCTGACTTCCTCTTGGTCTGAGCTAATTACGGTAAATTAGAAAGTTGTCCGGCTCGAAGAGTACAATATACATATCGAGTTTTGTTACTGTAGATAAAACTAACCCCCCCACTTTTGTCAAAAGCATTTTGAAAGTGACACACTTCCTGCTGCCAGTTGGTGGCGCTATAACTTTGACTCACAATAGTTACATCCATCTGATTGGCCTCTTACCACGAACACACTGCTGAAATTTCATCAAGATCAGTTAATGTATGCAGAAGTTATAACACTTCGTGTTTCTCTTTTCTCGCCATAAATTCGTTTCCTCGCCACGGCCAAACCGTTCGAGATATCAAAAATCCGTCCGCAATTTAGCATCTTCAATGTGTTGACCTCAAGCTGACCGAGTTTGGCAGTAAACGGATGCAATCTCTAGGAGAAGTACTTCAAATTCCTGAGCAAGCGTTCTCCAAACAACCCATAATAGCCGACTTCCTGTTGGGCTGGCGTAAAACTTGACCGAGGGTAAGTTGTTCGGTCCGATGAGATCTATAAGTGTACTGAGTTTCATATTAATTCATGCAAGCGTGTTTGATCTATGGACCAAGTTTTGGGGACCCCATTCAAGGGGGCGCTGTTGAGCCCCCCTGCCACGCCCGGGTACCAGCTTCAGCCCGGCCCTGATGGCCGTGGGCTCTGACCTGTGTGCAAAGTTTCAAGAGTTTTCAAGCACGTTAAGGGCCCCAAAAGCCCCTGAAACCTTGAACACCATTAAAATAATAGTCAAATTCCCCAAACCCCCCACACACAGAGACAGAGGGAGAGGGAGGGAGAAAATTCTCCTGAAAATCACATTCAAACCAAAATATCTGACTTTGTGTTGTTCGGAGCTAATGACTGTCAATTAGAAAGTTGTCCGGCTCGAGGAGACGAATATACATACCGATTTTTGTTACTGTAGGTAAAACTAATACCCCATTTTTGACTAAAGGTGGCGCTACTGAGCCCCTCACCACGCCCGTTTCTGAAACTTTGCACGTGTCTACTAGCTAATAAATGTGATCTGTCTGTCGAGTTTCATGCAATTTTAAGCAATTTCAGGCATGCTAAGAGTCTCAAAAGCATCCAAAAAGAATATTAAAGTTTGATGCGTTGCCATGGCAACAGTATCTAAGACATCAATAATCCTTTCACAGGTCTACATCTGGCGAGTGTCTACATTATACACATAAAGTTTGAAGCAAATCCGGTAAAAATAAGAGGGTGATTTCAAAGCATTTTGAAAGTGACACACTTCCTGCTGCCAGTTGGTGGCGCTATAACTTTGACTCACAATAGTCACATCCATGTGATCGGTCTCTTACAGCGAACAGACTGCTGAAGTTTCATCGAGATCAGTCAATGTATGCAGAAGTTATAACACACTTCCTGTTTCTTGTTTCTCGCCATAAATTCGTTTCCTCGCCACGGCCAAAGCGTTCGAGATATCAAAAATCCCCTGGCAATTTTTCATCCTCAGTGTCTTGACTTCATGCTGACCGAGTTTCGTGCCGTGTGTTTGAATTCTCTAGGAGGAGTATTTCGAATTCCTGAGCATGGGTTTTCCAAACAACCCTAAATAGCAGACATCCTGTCGGGCTGGGGTAAAAAATCAGAGCATGAAGTATATATGAACCGATGAGATCTATAAGTGTACCGAGTTTCATATTATTCCATGCAAGCGTGTTTGATTTATGGACCAAGTTTTCGGAGCCCGTTCCAGGGGGCGCTGTCGAGCCCCCCTGCCACGCCCGGGTACCAGCTTCAGCCCGGCTCTGATGGCCGCGGGTTCTGACATGTGTGCAAAGTTTCAAGAGTTTTTGAGCACGTTAAGGCCCCCAAAAGTGCCCGAATAGTCGTAAAAATAATAATAATAATAATAATCCTAAGGAAAACAATAGGGCCTTCGCCTTTTCAAGGCTTGGGCCCTAATAATAATAATCCTAAGGAAAACAATAGGGCCTTCGCCTTTTCAAGGCTTGGGCCCTAAATATATATATATATAAAGGCACCGGGGTGGCGGTGCCACCGGCTTGTTTATATATATATATATATATATATATATATATATATATATATATGAATATAGCTGCGAGCAGCGATTACGGGCCCAAGCCGGTGGCACCGCAACCCCGGTGCCTTTAGTTACCTAAAGGCACCGGAGTGGCGGTGCCGCCGGCTTTGGCCCTTCATCGCTGC